CTACAGGACTCATCTCCATCTCTGGACAGGTGATGGAGCAACTCATCTTGGCGGTCATCATTAAGCAAGTGGAGGAAAAGAAGGTTATCAGGAGTAGTCAGCATGGATTCACCAAGGGGAAGTCATACTTGACCCATCTGATTGCTTTCTATGATGGCATGAGTGGCTGGGTAGATGAGGGGAGAGCAGTGGATGCTGTCTACATTGACCGCAGAGAAGCTTTTGACACTGTCTCCCATAACATCCTCCTAGGGAAGCTCAGGAAGCATGGGCTGGATGAGTGGCCAGTGAGGTGGATAGAGAACTGGCTGAATGGCAGAGCTCAGAGGGTTGTCATCAGCGGCGCTGAGTCTGGTTGGAGACCTGTAACGAGTGGTGTTCCCCAGGGGTCAGTACTGGGCCCAGTCTTGTTCAACTTCTTCATCAATGACCTGGAAGAAGGGACAGAATGTACCCTCAGCAAGGCTGCTGATGACACAAAACTGGGAGGACTGGTGGATACATTAGCAGGCTGTGCTGCCATTCAGTGAGACCTGGACAGGCTGGAAAGTTGGGCAGAGAGGAACCTGATGAGGTTCAACAAGGGCAAGTGCAGGGTCCTGCACCTGGGGAGGAACAACCCCATGCATCAGTACAGGATTGGGGCGGACCTGCTCGAAAGCAGCTCTGTGGAGAGGGAGGTTGGAGTGCTGGTGGACGACGAGTTGACCATGATCCAGCAGTGTGCCCTGGTTGCCAAGAAAGCCAGTGGTATCCTGGGGTACATCAAGAAGAGCGTGACCTGCAGGTCAAGGGAGGTTCTCCTCCTCCTCTACTCTGCCCTAGTGAGGCCCCATCTGGAGTACTGTGTCCAGTGTTGGGCTCCCCGGTTCAAGAAAGATGAGGAACTACTGGTGAGAGTCCAGTGGAGGACTACAGAGATGATGAGGGGACTGGAGCATCTCTCCTACGAGGAAAGGCTGAGGGAGCTGGGCTTGTTTAGCCTGACAAAGAGAAGGCTGAGAGGGGATCTTACAAATGCTTATAAATATCTTCAGGGTGGATGTCAAGAGGATGGGGCCAGACTCTTTTCAGTGGTGCCCAGCGACAGGACAAGGGGCAACGAGCACAAACTGAAGCATAGGAAGTTCCATGTGAAGATGAGGAAGAACTTACTTACTTTGACGGTGATGGAGCACTGGAACAGGTTGCCCAGAGGGGTTGTGGGAGTCTTCTTCTCTGGAGATATTCAAAACCTGCCTGGACGAGTTCCTGTACAGCCTGCTCTAAGTGACCTTGCTTTGACAGGGGGGTTGGACTAGGTGATCCCCAGAGGTTTGTTCCAGCCCCCGCCATTCTGGGATTTGCCAGTGTGAGCCCAGCCCTAGCAGCCTGGTAACTGCCACAATGTGGTGCAAGAAGCATGCCGGGGAAGAGCTCCAGACTAGAGCAGTGAATTGTTGGACAGACATAGTATTGTCTGCGTAGAAAAAAAAAGCTCTAGCCAGCAGAAACAAAATCAACATGGACAAAGTGTTGTAACTACAGACACAAAAAACATGTTGCCCTCCCTCTCAGGTCCCACTTCTCCTCAGCTTTCCTATGTAAATGGCTCCAAGTTGTTTTCTCTAATGGAGACTTTACATACTAAACACTTCTAAAAAGCAAATATACACCCTTTTAGATGGCAGAGAAAAATCCTACATCTTTCTTGGGTCCTCTCTTTCCTGTTCTGCTCCTACTAGTCCCACCACAGCTGAGTTTCATTTCCCTGATCTGCCCACCAGCATCCAGAGACCTGGAATGTGCCCTGTTCCAGGAAATTTCAATTGCTGACAGCCAGCCAACACATGGAGGTCACACTTAAAAAAATCTGCCTCATGTAAAAACAACAGACTAGTCTTCCCCCATCCTGAGCAGCACTGTTTATGTTTAGAATCCAATGAAACCCCAAACCCTAGATTAACCCTTATGCATTAGGCTGAGTTAGGAAGCTGTTGGGTGTAGCTAGAAGAGGTAATTTCAAAACAGTGAATAAACACAGGATGATAACAGTTAAGTCAAGGCTGATACTTGGATTTGGCAAGGCTGTGTAAGAAATTAATATAAACACAGTACCAAGAAGGGGTTCATTTATATACATAAGCAACAGCAATGCAACAATATTCAACCTAGAGCATTGATGCCGCTCTCATTCCACTCGCTGTTCAGGCTCTCAACCAGAGAGAGTCACAAAAAATTATTTTTGACTTACCAGACTTTATCACTGCATCTGTTGTATTTGAAGGAAATTTCTGCCAGTCCACACTACAGGGTTCAGACCCAGATGAATGACACCATTTTACTATGTAGCCACAGGTCATGTTGGGGTAAGAATTCCAAGAAATATAAATTGCATTCCCCATTGCCATGGCCCGATCTGTTTTGACATTGTCTGCAACAAAGACGACACAAAAATCCATCAGAGAGCAGACACTTATCTGTAGTCCAAGCTGGAAGAAAGCCTTGCAGCCACAGCACAAAGGTTTTATAAACTGCAGTCATTTCTAAGAATGAGAGGTGCACTCCTGGTACTGCGAAATTCGAAGCAGTGCACCCAGCTATGCTTTCTGAAGTGCTGGATATCAGACGTAGCCTGCAGCAAATCCCTCAGCCAGCCTTAAGTATGATGACAAGAAGTGCTACAGCTCAGGACTGGCGTAAAAAGCACTCTTTCAAGGTAAGGATTTACAGCAGATGTCAGGTTCAAATCTGTCTTGACACTGCCATTTCATCACACAGTTTGCTTTGTGTTTCTTTCAAAGTGTCTTGCTGTCACTTGCCTGACCACAGACAATCATTTTTCACCAAGAATCAACAGGAAAAGTCAAGTCCCTGGTGAACTTAATGGAGGCTCCAGTCTAGCAAGGGTAAATCAGAAAAAAATACATAAATGCTTTGCCTTTAGCCTATTTTTCTTGTTTCTGATTATCAAAGGTTTAGCTGCCCTGGAAGTGATCAGATCTGGGAACGACTTCTGATTCCTGCAGCTTCCCTCCATGGCTGTCCATCAGATGGGACCCCCACCGAGCTAAGGATGTTTTCCAAAGGCCACCACAACAGCGGTGGCCCCATGACAGATCTGCAAAAACAGTCTCAGGGTTTCAGTTTTTCCTTTTTCAGTGTTCTCATTTATGCTCCCTATTGAGTCTATTATTTAATGTTTTTAAAGCCATAAACTGTGGAAGGCTGAAGAGCAAGGACAGTTTTTAAGAATCAGTGCTGTAAAAACTTCATTCTCACAGACGTGCTGTGAATGTCGAAGGACTGTCTATTTCTAAATCACCTTAACATACAGCTAAGTGTACAATCCTTTTCTAACTTGCTCATGGCAAGAAAGACACATATGATTTAAAAAAGCAAGTCAATTCCAGAAGTCCTCAATACTTTTCTCTAAAAAACTACTACTTATCCAGTGAAACTACACTTCTATGATGCTGGAAGAGAATATATTTCTAATTAGACTGCTTTAATTTTCCTACTTACAAAAAATACTTTACTGACAGTGAGCACATACTTTCTAAAAAATGCTTAAATATATCACACTAAATTTTACTTCCTGAGCCAGATGACTAGAAATTCACCCAGGGCAGTACTGCTCATTTTGGTGTATTTATAGCTGCGACATAGACCAGTAGAAGTAACTACTAGCATTACAGTACTACTGTGGTAGGGGAGCCAGTAACAGCCAGATTATATGCCCCAACTCTCTACAGAGCACTTTTCAGAGACAGTGACAAATTAATTAAGGCAGAATACCCTTCGTTTGTGTTTTCAGTTTTCACAAAACGTCAGCAGATCTCAAGCTTCAGAGCCACTGCTCTCTTACGGACATTAAAAGCACTCAGAGACTGTACACAGGAAGCAGCCAGAAGAGACGTTTGGACAGAAATGTCATCCAGTTCAGTGGCTGAGTCATCTTTCGTGACTCCAGTCAGTGACTCAGATAATTCCTATACCAACTTGGGAGCAAACCTTCAATGAGTACAAGTTGGGTAACACCACAGGGAGCCTCACACATCCAAGAGAAAGCTATAAATGAACGCAAAGTTCCAGCTGCCATCAGCTGTCCCACACCACAAACCTATTACAGAGACCCCCCCTGACTCCCAAAGTCTCGTTCTTTCACTGCTGAAGGAGAGCTATAACAGCATTTTAATATTTTAATTCATGCAACTGTCCCACACAATTACTTTTCCCTCCAAGGAGCAGACTAAGAATATACTTTTAGGTGTTGGTGTTTTGGAGAATCACGAGAAACACTGAGAGCAATAGTTTTCCTTCACATAGAAACAAACTTTTTTTTCTCTCACTGTGAATCTCGGTCAAAGCACATTTCTTCTACGAGAGATGGCCCTGTCTTAACAGAACCTGAGTTGCAAGACGGGCAACTGTGATAACTGTTCTCTGAGTGGGGAAGGAGAAGCAGCACCACACATGCTCCTGGCAAACAAGCAGAGAGGGATCTCGCTGTGTAAATCCATCTCCCTTGCAGAGCACTGGCCAGATCTGGAGGTAAAGGTTTGGGCTCTGGAAGACTGCATTCTTCCTGGCGTGCAGGGAAGCATGGAGTCTCAATAGCCACAAGCAGTATTATCTCTTCCCCAAGCTCAGTGCTAGGAGCAGAAAATCATTATCTGGCTGAGCTACTTCCCTTTACAAAAGCCCGCAGCAAGAGCAGCAATGCTTTTATTGGGAAGCTAAAGTCCCACCTCCTTTTCAAACACCGGCTCCTGGCACAAGGATGCCAACATTTTACCAACCAGCCCAATTAATATTCTCCTGCATAGCTCACAGGCACTGAACTGACAATTCTCCCCTTAAAAAGCCACACAACACTGCCAAAACTTTATTCTGATTCCCTTTAGCATGTAACACTTTTCAGCATCTCAACAAGAACACAAAGAAATAAACTGAGCTCCCTAAACATCAGAGACTGATACTAATGCTCTGAAGCCTCGTCCTTGCTGTTCCTCAGAGGTCTCCAGAAAAGTGCAAATAGCTGCAGAGACTGCATGCTATCACCCTTCTTTTATGCAGAGAGCACAATTAATTGGCGAGACACAACCCTTATATCAAAGCAGCAATTTTTTTCTTCCCCCATCCAGCAGATTTGGGTGGGGAAATCAACCAGAAACCAAACATAACCAAACATAACCAAACAAAGCATGTATCTATCTTGTTTTTCAATAAACAAACTCAACCAGGTATTCCTCCAGCTTCGAAGGTGTTTAGCTCTCTGCTAGGAGCACTCACCGCTTGGAAGCTCCACACTCGTTATCCTCGAAGGAGGAGATAAGCCTGCATGGTTTTTGGCTACGACGCTAATTACACAGTCATTTTTTCCAAGTTTTATCTCAGTACTGTTTGAGGGTTCGGTGACTTCTTTATACTCCAGTGGTGTCTCTGGCAGGTAGCAGGACACTTCATGAGAGACTATTTTTCCATTGGCTTCAGAAATGGATAAAGGCTATGAACAGACAAAGAGTGCATTAAAACCAAAATGGAATAAACACAAGATGACGTGATAATATGAATTTAATGTCCTGATCTAGTCTTCTGACTGTATAGGACTAGAGGCAGAAAAGACAGTTACTCAAGTGTGACTTCGAGAATTAACACGTAAGTCCGTAAGTTTTTAATTTTCATCTGGGGTGTATTAAAAATTTCATTCTTCATGTGAAATGCTTCTCAATCCCACGTTTAAATTATGAAACTTTAATAATATTTGGGGAAAAACACTTGTCTCAATGAACGGTTCTATAAAATTTAAGAAAAACAGTCCACTTTATTGACTGTAAACTTCAGTCATTTATAAATGTGCAAGGAAGTAAGTTTTTCGTAGAGTTACACTACATAATATTTTAAAACTCGAAGTGTCCTATCTACCTTCCAGAAGATTTTTAGACTTTTTCCAGAAGGACTTCTCTCTCTCCAGATATCTGGTCCTCTTGCAGGAGCTAAGGAGCAAAGAAACAGAAGTGGTTTGTTTTTTTTTTTTTTCCAAGTTGCACATTAGGCTATTTACCATCTACTAAAACATTTCGGTTTTAGGTGGCTCATTTCAAAATATACGTCTTCACAAATTCAACATTTTATCACCAAATAATTAAAAAAACTTACGGGCTTCCAGTGTTGTGTGCTCCTCTATCCTGCTCCAGTCACTCCACCTCCAGAAGTGGTCAGCAGCCGAACAACGCACCCTGAACTGGTATTTGGTATATGGATGCAATGCGTTCAGCTGAGCTGTGTAAGTTGAGAAATTTCCACCAGGTATGGAGACATTGTGCTGTTAAAAATTTATAGAAATTGACATGACACATATATATTTTTTGCTCCTAGATTATGCTGAAAGTGAACACCTAAAAAAGGGGTATTTTTCCCCCAAGAATACCAACAGTGTGAAAAAGAGCTGCTGTCAAGGCCTAAAAAGAAATTAATGAACAAGAAAAATGTCACCGTAAACAAAGGAAAATTTTCAGGGGTCTGCCAAAATAAAGTCATATATAGCACAGAAATTGAAATATGACAGTATGTAGCACCTTTGAGATGTAAAGCATGAAAAGGAGAGACAACACCGAGAACCCTTCAACAGGACAAGCTCTGTACACAGTAGCAGGCTGCTGCTTTTCATCTACTCCATCCAGTCCCCCTCTCTCCTACAGGCAGCAAAACTTCTGCTCCCATGAGGCAGGCCAGGATTTCACCTCTGGTGTACAGAACCTGCACTTGCACCACGCACCTGCCCTCCAAACCGGGTGGACAGAGGCCTTTTTCGTAAGGCACATGCACAGAAGCACACTAAAGCCAGTCTGTCTGAGCAAGATGTTTATCGTGCAGTCTTCTTTCTAGGCAGTCATTTTTCCTTCAAAAGATGGTACCCAAATCTTACCCAGGTGATCTCTGTTCACAGGGCTTACGAGGGGACTAGTCTCTCCTACTATTCTTAAAATGGTGCGCGTCGAGGCAGTATTTCAGTTTCATGATTCCTTGAAGAAACTCTAAGCTTGGGAATATTTTTTATTGAATCTAATTATAACACATGTGCATCACAGCTGCCAAAAACTGGACTCCAAGTGACTTTAAGATGCAGTTAATTGTGCACTTCTAAAGCCAAATGACAGCTTGAAAAATACAAAAAAAGGCCGTCTCTCATACTGATGGAAAAGCTTCTGAAAACATCCTCAAAATGCCATGTAAAACCCCGTAACAATTTCACAGCTACTTTTTGTTTATTACAGAGAACTCTTGGAGTTCTTTTATTAAGCAACCAGACACAACATAACAAGGCTGTAAAAGCTTCTACCAAGCTGTCTGCTGTGTTTCAAAACATCTGTAGCTGCAGGCTCTGATACAGGTGCAGTGAATCAAACTGCTGTGGCGGCCTAAGAACCAACCATCTCCCACTGCCCCAGATGACCGACCTGGTGCCAGAGTTCACAAGCAAATGTGTGCCCTTGAGCTTCGAGCAGCATAACTCTGGCTAGACAGAACTCTGCAAACCTACTTTTTTAGCAGTCCAGGCTAACTGAGCTGGGGGCAGGTGACACTCAGGTGCTTGTTTCCCCTGCTGACTGCTCCAGAAGCAGTAACCTTTGGGAGCAGACAACTGTGGGTGACGGTATCCAACAGAGCTCATCTGTCAGAGCTGTTATGTACATCTAATAGCCAGTTCCCTCTGCTGTTAATTCCAAAGATATATATGATTTTCATTGCAGTACCTCCTCTCTGGGTACTATCTAACACTTGTCATTTCAGAGAAAATATAAAAGCTTAAGGCTTCCACACTCATTAAGTGCTCTGAAAGTATTTAAAAAACACTTTTACAGGGCATGCATTAACTACTACCCTATTATTTTAGAGGCAATGTACATAATCATTATCTTCAGTCTTCGCTGCATCACCTCTGTGGCTTGAGTGACTTTATGCAAGGCTGTGCCCAACTGCTCTGCCCAACAGGCAACTAAATGCAGTGGGCACTCCTGCTAAAATCAAAGCAGCATTGTAAAAAGCAGTGCATGAAGTGCATGTGTTCAAATTACAAAGTCAGGCTCTGTGCACCAAGACCTGGTAATTCAGCATGTGCCTACACAAGCTGGTCAGAGATACTCCATCTGAACTCACAAACACAGAATTTGGGGGTAAACCTCAGGCCAACTGCAGTTCTGCCACGAGGCCTCCGCAGTGACACAGATCACCCCACACTTGGTTAGGCAATATGGAAGAAGAGGATATATTCCCACCTCCTACACTCAGCATCTGCTGCTCGTGTAAATTAGCATCCTAAGCCCCTCTGACAGTCAGCAGCGCAAAATATGTGGCTCTGGTCGGTGCCTGGCACGAAAGCCAGGCAGCAGCTGGAGGCCTCAACGCTGGAAAATCTGAACCCCACCCAGAAATACCACCTTCTCTCCAGCTGCAGAGGTCTTCACTGGGGATTACCTGCTGATATGCCCAGTGGGAAAATCCTTCCCTATCCTGTCTCTACACCACTGATATATGAGCAGTTTTAGCAGCTCCGTATTACAGCCACATGCATGTCAATTGCTGACAGCAAGGAAATGAACTGTTCTCTGAGCGGGGAAAAAAAAGAAAAAAGAAGAAATTAAACTACAGACTGCAAGAGCCAATCTGAAACAACCACTGTGGAAGCGTGCAGGGCAGCAGCGAATCCTGGAACAAGCGTGTGTTAATACAATTTGCACGAGGCAGGACAAAGCACAAGGACTGTTACCTAAAGGATCAAGACAAAGCACTATGCACCCTCTCCAAGTACCACATAACATGGTGGGTAATTTGACTTTCCTCTAAATTGTTTAAAACCAACCGAAAAAAGAGAGAGCAGGCAACAATGGAGATGAGCAGAACTTCTTCTGATTTTAGTAGATGAACTTCTAGTCATTACCACATTAATCATTTAATGAGATGATCAGAATGAAGCTCTTAGAGAGAAAAGAATTTGAAATGTAATTAGTTCGTTGAAAAAGATCAACATCTGAGCCAAGAAAAAAAAAATCCATTAAAAGCAATGCTTACCAGTTTTCGCTCAGAGTGACCGCTGCTAAATTCAATTTGACACAGAAGCCTGATATCAGCAAAGCCGCCATTTATAAACCAACGCAGATGGACGCTTGTAGAGCTGTTCCCAGAAACAGTTAACTTTTCTGGAGTTTTCGGATGAACTTAAAAAATAAAGAAAAAATCCTCAGTTCTAAGAAAAACCCATTCATTCTAGTTCAGAAAAATCTGATTTTAAAAGATCAAAGAGAATCAGAAAAATAACTAAGTGATCCGATCAGCAAATAGCACAGCTGGTGCTGGGAAGGCACCTGCAAGCAGTCTCATTCCTGATGCTTTTCTCAGCTATCAAGCACCAGAACAGATTTACTTAAGGCTCAGCATACTAGCCTGTGTGATAAAGAGCTGGAGACACAAAAATACATTTCCTCTCCTACTGACTTTATAAAAAAAGCGAAACACGAGCTATTTCAGAGGACCACAGTGACGGATGAAATTCACTCAGCTTTGTTCACCTTCTGGGAACTTTGTAAATTAGAACTCAAAGTCTGCAGACTAGGACAGAATAGGACTACTGAATGACTTCTCCCTCCCCAGAACTCCCTTCACAGAATTCTTCACTAATATTCAGTACTACTATTCATAGCTGTCAGAGAAAAAAATCTCGGCTGCTGGAATTGGTCCTGTCACCCTTAAGGAAATATGTATTCTGTGTTGGGAATTAGGTGGACAGTGAGGGAAAGAAAGGAAAGGAAAGAAATAGGCAGCAGCAGTTGTATCAACTGGGTGCAAAACAGCCCAGTTTATAATTAACAGAAACCAACTACAGTTTTCTAGGATGTGCCAATTTACTCTGACAATTCTAATCTCAGGCTATTTGAACTGGGACACGGACAAAGTAACTGCACCATGTTCATTTTTAAATTCAGTTTTTCAGAGAGAACAGCAGAATGCTGTAACCATTAGGAACCCCTGAATCTTCAGATGTGGTTGTGGATGCAGATGGAAAAGGATGGGAAAGACGGCACTAGAAAGATGGTGGTCATCTACTTTTCCTAGTTTAAACTGAAAGTCTAATGAAAGAAGTTATTTCTTTCTACAAACCATAACAGCAGATGATCATGGCTATTCCCAATAGCATGTAATACTCCTGCTATTACCTTTTAATGCTACTTTTTTTATGCTTCAAATCCTGCTGTTGTAAAACTGCATAATATTTTGCCCTATAAACAGACACTGAAATACAGAGTCACTTACAGTTCTTCACAAAATTACACAAAAATTATAATTACTGATGTGTAACAGAATATGAAGTAATGCATAAAGAGCAGCTGGATAACTATTAGATTACAAGTAGCATTTATCCACACTGCAGTGTATCCAATCTGGTAGCACTGCTGTCAAGAACTGGCATCTCCCTGTATGCCTAACCATTACCTCAGGACATGTCCTAAGCTATTTTCTTTTCAAGTTCAAACTACGGAACATGGCAAAATACTGGTGACAATAAATCAAAATGACACATACACCATGTCAGAGTTCTTCAAACCCAAAACAAACAGATGTCAGCATGCAGTAAATGTATCTTTGTGCCTTTGCAATTCTTAAGTCTTACCTCTTTGAGTTAAATCAATCAAAAGCGACGACTCTGCTTGCCCGATAGGATTGGAGACACCTAATATGAAGTCGTAGGTTTTTTGATCAGGCAGTACTGAAAAGCCACAGACACGCTCTCTGTTCATTTCATTGACTTCACACGAAACATTTGTACCAGATATCCTACAAAGTAAAAACGTGAGGGGAACAACTTAATTTTTGAGTAAGATAATTTCTAGCAAATGTCAAAAGTCTAGACCAAAAACACAGTAAAGCATGATGGGTTCACTGGATTACAGAATTATTTGATTGCAGAGGCATATCTAACACCGCAAGGCAGGATAAAGTGGCATTGGTCATGACTTGCCCTGCTCTCACATGAAACTCTCCTCTTCCACTAGCATAACATCTCCATCCTCTCACTTCTCAAAAGCCTGGAAAACAGGTAGGTCCTGTAAAACCACCTCACAAGTCACAACTAAGATTCTGATTTAATGTATCTTTGTTCAGATCAGCATACATTTGCATTTAAAGAATGTTCTTAATTGCTTTCTGAACTAGGGAGATGCGACACACATTATGTCGAAAGATGTATGTATGTATTGGCCATGCCAAATCTAAACTATGGTTTGTTACCTGGGACACATTCACTAGTCCCAGCCGTTTCTAAAGCAAGAGCAGGAGAGGCAGTATGGTAACAGTCAAGATCAGAGTTACATCTGTAGGGGTAAAAACTAAAGTGTGTATCTGTATGTATGTACAAATATAGAAGTTGCTTTAATTACAATCTGTGGAAACCTCTCATCCAGCAGCACAAGTTTAATTTCTTCCTTCAGGCATTTTTATTGTGCTCGAGCTGAGCCCTGGGCTCTCTCCACACCATACTCTCTCTTTCAATGGCTCAGTGTGGGCTGAGAACAAGGATGAGAACATTTACCGTGAAATGCATCACATTAATCTCACAGCTTTGGGCTGAGTGAAACAAGTCTGAACTATATCCGTGTTTATGAGCTGAATATGGGCAGCCAGTGACTGAAGCTCCTTTCCTTTGAATACCTGCTCTGTTTTGACCACCTCTTTGCACCTACCCAATGACATTTTTAGCACCAGCATCCTGGACGACATCTGTGACTGTAACTCAATCCTCATTGCCTCTGACTTGCTTCAAAGCCACCATAAGACTCCATTTCTCATCAGTTTGTGTGACTCAGGCCTCTCCTGGCTCCCTTCCCTGACTGCTCCTTTGGCATTACAGGGGAGCCTCCTCGCCATGAGAATTTTGTTAACTCCTCACTAACTTCTAATCACATCCACCAAGGAATCCCATTTGCAAGTGCTATTCCAAAACGATTCTTCACTTTTAAGGCTTTACATGGCTTACGATGTAAGACAAACTACCTGGACATCAGTCTTCACTTCCTTCTGTGGACGATGCCAACGTTCTTCATCCCTTTCAGCGTTTTCCAGGTAACACGCACTTTGCCTGCTCTACGCTATCTAGTTCTGAGGAGGAGCTGGGAGGAGAACAGGTGTAGGCTTGTTGCTATTTTCGCTAATAGCACTTGGGAAATGCCCCATGGTCTGTCTTACAATTGTTTCTCAGTGAGTTTCTGTCATCCTGCATAGCAGAAGCTCAGTAAATGTCTGACAGATGATCTGACGCAGGTTGCATATGAAAAAAAATTAAAAATCAGTGAATGACTCCCACCATCTCCCTGTATTTTTGTATTGGTCTTATCTATAAGTTGGCAGCAGCCTGACACACTAAGCACTTTATTTTCTCGTGAGTTCATCATGGCGTAAGTCTTTGGAAAAAGCCATCTTTAATTCCTATTGCAATTTTGCAGAGCTAGACATGGGTTCTCCAAGTTCAGTTTAGTTTCAGCTTCCACAAACTCTTGAAAAGTACTTTAGGCTCTAAACAATGGAGACTATCTCATTTAAATAGGCATCGTGCAGTAGGAGACAGGCAGTAATTCCAGTTCTATCCTTTTCACTCCTTCTAGGGCTGAATTGTTATACCTTTCAAATAAACTGTACTTTGTCCTTCGTTGTCCATATAGTCCACTGGGTCTGCCTGGTGTCCAGGTGCATTTTATTACCAGGAAATTGGATGTTTCACAGCTGAGGTTTTGAGGAATATCAGGGGCATCTGTAGCATGAAAGGAAACCAAAAGAGTTAGCCAATGTTTTGCCATCCTGGTGTGACAGTTGGGCTATTAGCTTCCTGAAAGCATCACCATTCGTTTTTGCCGAGTCTGGATTGTGTGCCTCACATATACATGGTAATAGTTATGCTCCAACCATATAAATAATATGCTTTAAAAAAATCCCAACAAAACAGATGGATAATTATTATCATCTCCATCTGACTAACACTTGACTCTAGGCTTCTAACTGGGTGGGTAATCTGGTAAATCACACGCAAATATGTTCACAAGCTCCAGGCTCTGACCTGGAAGTTTTTCACTGAAACTCTGCCAAAGCTTTTCCAAAATTCAGAGCATCCTGCTTTGAATTCTCCAAGCAAGTCACGTCAAGAAGATGTTCCCTTTAGCAAGAATTCCACACTGAATTTGAAAGTTAAAGCAAGCCCCAAATGGCTTGTCCTCTTCACTGTTGCTTTGGAAGTGCCCATCTTTTTCCTCTAAACCTTCTTCTCCCATACTAGAGCAGTGTTGAGTGCCTTCCTGGAGAAGATGGGCAGTGCTCCCAACAGAGAGGGTAACCATGCTAATAGGAGACTAAGCAGAACACTTATTTCAAGTCTCATACACTTTTCTCCAAGAGGCAGCACAACAATATCCATGTAGCTGCCTAGAGAACGGGCACTAACACAAGAGGCAGCAGTGGCAGGCTTAGTTCAGATTGTGAGCAGCGGGCCAAAAAGAACACTTCTTTCGCCAGACCTAGGCTTAACCAAGGTGATGTGCATACACATTTACTTCCTCTACCTTTTCTTTCCCAAATGTCTCTCATCAGCAAGGGCATCATGACAAGCCCTCTCCTTTCCCTCTAAGTAGGTACCACAAGAAGAAACACCGGCAGGAAACAGACTTCATCACAACCTAGCTCTTCAAAAACCACTGTATGGGAAAAATCTTTAGGGTTATCACAGCGTTCATTCATGAACCACCGACTTATTTACTGGGAGATTCTCCCACGAAAGCAAAGAGTCCACAAATAATGTAAAAATGGCACCTCAGTGAGAAGTCACAAAAAGCTGAATTCTCTTTTGCATTTGCTATCACACACTTAATACACAAAGTCCATGACAGGAGGCACAGGCTGGAGTTGGGAATACACTTTCAAAATTAGTCTAGTCTCTCATCTCCTTTTCCTCAGCCCCAAGAACCCTAAGTTCAAAGGCAGGAATTTATAATGGGGAACAGGATTCTAATCGGCAGCTATTGGAAGATGATAACTCTCAAAAACCCTGTGGGGAAAACACATAAAGCTCTGAAGTGACCAATTATAGCAAAGAAGAACCAAGTACTTTCAGTAGTTTGTTTTAAGAGGTATCTGTATCTTGAAGATATTTATGAGGCTGGCATGCTTACACAGAGAAGATACACAGTGATTCAGTATCTTTAAAGAAAATACTAGGGGAATGTTTAGAAGATTTTCCAGGAAAGAGGAACTGTCAGCTGGGTTCCTTTGCCATAATTAGCTCCCAGGGAGCTACTACTCTGGATGAGCATCTGTTGTTGTTGCATGTTTAACTGTTTTATTGTCTTCATTTGACTGGCTGGCAAATCAATGTTTTCACTTGCAATTCTTGCTCTTACTCTCACCTTGTCATGGACAAAACTAGATCAGATGTAAACCTAAAGTGACAGAGACTGAGGATGAATCTTCATATGGCAATAAACTAGTAAGTATTCCAGGTCACAAAGAAGTGTCTTAGAAAAAGAGATCAAAGAGAGAGCACTGGGCCAGGTTCTAAGAGAAGACAGCTTAAATGGGTACCTCCTCATCCTCCCAGCCTTGGTGTCTTCTCCACAGGCTGGAGTTTCCACAGTGGAATCAAACAAGTACAATCCCAGTTCATCCTCAGAAACCAAAGGCCAGGGGAAAAAAAGCCACAACAGAATTTGTTTCCTAACAGAACCCTAAGAGTCTCAAAATTATTTTGATATTCCTAAGGTTAGTAAACGTAATAATACATACATCCTACAAACAAGACAGTTCCATCCATCTCATCTTCGGACAGTATGCACACTACATTTGTCCCACTGCTATCTGAAGCACTGGCATTTAGCACTCTGATTGCACTGCTCCGACTGCTCAGATGTATCATTGGGTATATGTCTGGTCCGTAGGTCATCCGTTTTATCTGCTGCCCCTCTTCATGGACACAACAAATTGTCACATCCGAACCTACTGCCACCACAGTGTCCTGAGGGAACACCCCACTCCCACTGGGCTCAGTATCTTTTCCTGGCAGAGAAGGAAGAACAGAAAACAAAAACAAAAAAAACCTCACATGAACAATTTGCTATAAACATGGTGCTGATCAGATAAAATGTGACTTAGGAGCACTCTAATACATAAAAATTAATGTTTACTAGGTTTCATTAACCAATGATTGCAGTATTTTTCTCACCAAAACACCCCCAAAAGCAGCAGCCTGCCACTACCCAACACTATTCCTCTGATTTTGGCTTACTTTTCATAAACTAAACAAAGTCCATGTGGTGGCAAGAGAACAAACATACCAGGGACCTCTTCTACTGGGCTCCAGTCACTCCAATCCTTGGGGCCAATAAACTGTGTTGCATTAATGTAACAGCGAATCTTCACGTAATGCGATGTACACTCCAAAGGCATATCTGATGTCCAGTTCCAAGAAAGAATGATGTCTTCATGAGTCAGTTTTGAATAGTAAGTTACCTATAAAGTTTTACCCCCCAAAAAAAACAACAACCAAGAGAGAGTTTATGAAAACCTGTTAGCAACAACCTATAATCTCTCAGGTGTCAACAGAATGGCACATGAAGTGAAGCAAATCATAAATCCTGATAGCCGGTTGGAGTGTCCCACCTAACTTTCAGTTGTGTTAACGCATTTACTTGGACAAAAGCCTAAGATGCTAAACAGCCCACCAGCCACACAGACTGCCAGCCAGAAATACCAGAAGGCAGACATCTGAGGGAGAGAAGGAAGCTCCCCAAGCACTTCAAAAGGTATACATTGCATCCCGGTATCCTGGGCCTCTCCCAGGCAGGGAAATGTTCCAACTTTTCCAAAACGAAACTCTCCTAATACTAATCCCAGGCTGCACATCTTATCTTTCCTCCTTTCCTAAAAATTATAGAGCAGAGCTACAAATTGGCCTGGAATAACTGTGGTTGGAAAAAAAAAAGCAAACTCAAAGACCACCAAGACTTTAGACACTGCTGGAGAAGTAAAGCAAACATAATGGTGTAAAATACCTGCCAAATTAAGTTCTAACAAAAAAAACCCCTGTACTGGATATAAAAAAAAAAAGCTGTAACTACTGACAGTATAGTAGCCAGTGTCTTCATGACTTTGAAACTTAACATGAAGTTACCTACCAGAAACATGACTACACTCAGGTTCTGCAAAGCTCTACAATCTACATTATTCTCAGCTTTCTTCAAATGACCTTCCAGCATACTACCAAGGGCAAAAATTGTGTGTGTGTATACATATATATGCAAATATTTTTTGGTAAAGAAAGCAAATGACTTACTTGTATGACTTTTTCCGTTGCTTCTTTACGGAGTATTTGAATCTGCCAAAAGGCACCCAGTCCATATGGGAAGACTGATCCATTATCACTCCATTTCAGATTTAATGTGGAAGTTGGTAAGTCAGGTGTTAAACTAAGAATGCGTGGAGTGAGGGGAATAAATGCTTGAAAAAGAGAGAAGGGAAGAAAGCCATATTCAAGTCATTAGTCAGCAACACCAACCCTACAGGTGTTTAACACCCACATCTCTCTACTCTCAGCTGGCTAGTAGCCATACAAACACGTAACTCAACCTCTGTAATTCGAACAAGATGGGCTCTGTCATTACTTGAACGTGAAAGTTCCCAGGAAAGCACAGGTGCTGATGAGTCACCAGGTAGCATTGTCTTCTAATATCTTAATATGCAGATTTGTGTCATGAATATGACTCTTCATAATGCATAGAAAGGAGTACATTATATCTTTCACAACCTTCATTCAATGCCGCAGAGATAAGGAAACATGGTGACAGTCTTTGAAATGTACATGAGAATACATTTAGGGAGGATGACGGAAAAACCCCCAAAGGAAGAAGTGGGTTTTGGAAAGAAGCAGGGAAGAGGGGACTTGCAGCAAAAGCTAGAGTAGGGAGACAGGAGACCAGAAGCACAGGGTGGAAGAAGCTCACATGAGGCTCTGAAGAGGATCATGAGGAATGAGATTTGAAGCTACAAGAAATATTAAAGGCATGACACAGTGATGGTGACGGGAGAGGGAAATTAAACAGAAGTATCTCTTCTATGAATGGGTGGTGGTGAAGCAAAAGGCTGAGAAGCAGGCAAGGGTCATGGCAGTTCAAGCGTTATGGCAGTTCATTTGCCCTGGTGCAGGACAAATCCTGTATTTAAAATGTGTGATTTATCCAACTTTGGTCCTGGCCAAGGCTCTAAGAGCCTGCCAAGTGTTCAGCACAGTCAACACACTGCCTGGGATAACCTGTGATGAACCTGAGAGACCCATCCTGCCTGCAGTCAGCAAGATGCTGGAGAACCTAGTGTGTTGCCCACATATTTTTGTGTTTTGTTAAAGTTCTTGAGCTTTTCTCAGCTGAAGAGAAAACTGAGCCATGGATAAGAAGTACTGCTGAATTTAGATTGTGACCACACTAAAGCAATAAGCAGGCAAACCAAGACCAAAGATGAAATTATGAGCAAGTGAGGAAGATGGTGTCAACACTATCTTCAGCTTACAACTTCCTTCTTAGGGAGGAACGAAGTGAGAGAAAGTCTAATTTACCTATGAGTCCAATACGATGCACCCTACCTCTCAAGCATAAATGTATTTGCTTAGTTTCATACACATTTGAACAGACAGGGTAAGTTGGGCATATATTAAGACAATACGTTCCTGTCAGAAGTGAATGCGATACAACTGCCCTTAAAATGTTGTGAAATTGCAGGAATTAACAACTTAATTCTGTGGCAGTTCAGCATTTAAAATGGGAGAACAGGTACTAGAAAGTTTATTCTCCCTTTCCCAAGTCAAGTCTGAGCAAATGCACTTTGTGTCTCATGCAGGTAATTCAGTATATAGACTAGGAAGTTGTGTACAAATCTTTCATCATTTGCAATACAGGAATAAAAAGGTGCAGAGTGATTAGGGGGATGTAACAGCACTTATTTTTCCTCCACACATTCTGCCCTTGATTTCTCTGCTATGATCTGTGGATAAGAGGGGATTTCTTTCCCCTGTATGGGGAGAGAAATCAACCTATCGCGTATGGTAGATTCGTATGGACTCAGCACATCAACATTTTACATACAGAGACACTGCCAAAGAAAACTGCAAGCATATGCACTTCTGGAGCATTGTTAATCATAGTATAAAGGCCTTATATACACACATAAAACCTGATACTTACAGATGTCTTTCTTGTGAATTTCAAACTCTTTGGTAGCAAAAGCAGTTCCAGAAATGCTGTTAGTGGTTATTGTCACCATGGTGGAGCTCTCTGGGACTGGAATCTCAACGCTTCTCCCCTTAGTTTTAAAACACACTGGAGGGGGAAGATCACTGAAAAGACAGAGAGGATTAAGCAGGTATTTCAGCTGACAGGAACTTAAGGCAAGTTAAGTCCTATTCCTAGGACACTAATAAAACACGTGTTCTCTGTAATATAACAGAGAGCTCCATATCAAGTCTGTGAAGGAGTAAGACTCACATGGGCTTTGGTTAGTATTAGATTAACAGGCATTCCCTGTGCACTAGTTGTATAATGCAGCTACTTAGCTGTTAAAAGAACACCTCAAAGTGAAAAAATGCCTTTTTAAACAAAAGACACATTTCTGAAACCTACAGTCACCATGAATCAATATTTCAAAATAAGCTAAATAAAACCCCCTAAAACCCAAGAGTACCTCACATTCCCTTTATGTTTCCCAACTCTCTCTCCCTCCATTTCTTCTCAAAGCGATGGCGTACAGGTGCAAAAAACAGGTTCACCTATCTGTGTCCCCACCTCAGAACAAATGTTTTTGCTCCCTTCTGCTGCTCTGCTCATAGGCTCCCTTCTGCTGCTCAGCTCATAGGGAAAGAGCAGAGGGCAGGGGAGAGAACTGCTAAAATCCCAGATGGAAATACAGTCTGTGGATAGTGTTTGTGCAGTGCTCAGCACAATGTTCTCTGGCCTTTGTCTGGAGGTCGTAAATACATACAGGAAACAATAATGGATGGGTCAAGTCCCTTTGCTCATTATCATTGATGTACAGCTAGAAAGGCAACAAGTTTGGAAAAATGCAGACCTTCCTCTTGGGGCGATGATGGGAGGAAGGAAAGCAAAGAGAACAATGCCAGACTTCCTGAAAAAGAACAATGCCAGACTTGCTGCTGAGGGACTCTTACTTACGAACTGGAGCAGGATCCTGGCTCCCATCAGCTGGACTCAGAGCTTGGGTTGAACTTTAAAGATTCAGGCAAGACCCTGGGCTAACGAAGGCCAGCTGAGACTTCAGTGCTCAGAAAGGTTATTCCTCTTCTGTACTGAGCTATTATTAAAATAA